AATTTCTCATCACTTGGCGATGAGGTAAGCGAAGAAGATGTATTTCAATCCTTATAATTTTCTTGGCAATAACTTTTTGCAGCTCTTGAAGGTACTACTACACACACATACATACACACCCTTGTTTATCCTAAAAATCTTGAAGTTAGCCGAAGATAAAAACGAATTGAAAGGAATTCAGTGAAGCGTAAACAGAAAAAAAAATCAAACGCACAGAGAGTAGAGGAAAAATAAGGGGGAAGTTCAACATTGAATGAAGGTTTTGCAATAAAAATCTGAAAAGTTTTGCACACGCAACAGCAGCAGCAACAACAACAACGGAAGAGAACAACAACGCTTAAAGCCAAAGCAACCATCAGCAGATAAAGCAGACACTGAAACGACACTTTTTTCGCAAACGCTTCCAGCAAATGATGATGGAAACATTAAAGTGGCGATGATGAAGATAAAGACAACGAACTGCTGATGCCGATGATGGAAAAAATGGAAAAATATTGTTGACGTAGCTCTGCACTGGTGTCTGGGAATCTTTTGTTGGTCTTCTTAGTGTTTGTTGTTATCGTTGACGCTGTAGTTTCTTTAATTCCATTGCAGTCCAAAATGATGCTGGTCGGTCGGTCGTATGTCAAATGTTGTAATTGTTGCTGCTGTTGTATTACCAAGACTTAGAAAGTTTTCGGAAAGTTACAAGAGAATGGAGAAATTATATCAAAGTCCTTGTGAGATTTTGCAAACTTATTTTTAAAGTCTGACAACCATAAGATTTGACAAGTTCCAACAAACTAAAGCAAACCATTCTAACACAAGACGAGGTCCGAACCAAAGTCCTACTGGCCTTAAAATTAACTTAGGCATGGATTCCTGCGTGGTACAATCATAAATAATATGGTCAACATTTTCTCCAGGTATATCAATTTCTATTAGAGCTTGAAACCTTGTGGTACTTATAAATATATTGATATGGGTGATAAATCATAATAATAAGATCACATAAAGAAAAGAATTTTCACACTGGGAGACAGTGATGATGGAAATATTTAACAACGGTTACCAGTGTGTTTAGGGCTCACCGAACTAGCCGGGTGCCCGGAACTCCTCCAAAATATTCGATTTAAGGTGTTTTCAAAACATTTTACTTCAATATCTCACTTGTTGTCTATTGAGTAATTTGTCAATTTGCACCGTTTGCAGACTAACGACAAAACCAAAAATTGGGTTTGAGTTGACAAAAATTAACTCACCGGGTAAATAGTAAAAAATAAATGTTGGAAAACCCATTTGCAGGGACGGAACTCTGTCAAAACAGTGTTGATTTTGTATGACTATTACAGAAATCGGATTCATTGAGCTTGAGCCTTCCAAAGATTATACGAGTAATATTCAGGTAATATAAAGGATAGTGATATAAGGGAAAACCATATAATCGTCCATAACCAGATATAAAATTGAGAGATATTTCATAGCAGTTTGTCAAAAGATTATTAGGAATTAACAGGAGTCTATGAAAATTTCTGAGTTTTTCGCTTGAAAAATTCTATTACGGCGTACTGATTGTATTTCGTCCTTCTGTCTGTTACGACTCCGAAATATCCAATCATAGCAAATTCGTAGGCCACAAAACCTTTAAAATATTTTCATTGGGGGATTTTTTCCATCGAGTCGCTCACACATGGGCCTGAATTCCGTATCAATCGGAAAAAATTACACTGAAGTGGCATAGATAACAACGACATCGCCAGAGGATAGCCCGTTGAAAAGGTACATTTTTTTGACATTTTCAGAACAATTTCTTAAAAAATATTTTTTTTGTCCATTGGTAACCCTGAAATCATTTTTAGCTTCCGAACGAAATGAAGTAGATTGATAAAATTTTACTCAATTGTATATTATGTCTGCAGGACTTTCGGTATTTTGATGATTTAAGCGACATTATTCACCGGAAATGTTTCAAATTTGTCATTTGAAGTTCGTAATAGATATTACAGCCTAAGACAGAAAATTGTCTGTACAGGTCTTCGTCTTCGTGTAGCCCCCATATCCTCCCTATATTCCGTATTTTGATGATTTTAGCGACATTATTCAGCCAACATTGGTGTAGCCAACATATAACCTCTCCTATATTCGGTATATTGATAATTATAACTACATTATTCACCGAATTTTTTTTCAAGTTTCGCATTTGAATATTGTAATGGCTTATGACAAAAGTCGTCGTATAGACCGTAATAAAAAGGCTATATTCGGTATTTTTAAGATTTAAAAAAAAATTAATTGATTTTATTTTTTGAAATGTGCCAAATTTGTTCCAAATGGTGGAGGGTATTAAAAATTCGGCCGAACTTACATCCTTTTTACTTGTTTTGATATGCGCTATTTTTAGGTGTTAATAATTAAAAAATCAAAATAAAATATCTCTATCAAATCTCAACAGTCGTCCAAAAATCTATGATCTAAAAATGGAATGGATGGATTTATATTTTTTGTAGTAAAAGTCAATTTCAATCAACTCAACTAACTATTAAAACACAGATGTATACCTTCAGCCAATGTTCGATTATTTAAACACATTTTGTCTTCTGTTATGATTATTTAAATTGTTGAACCTCCATTTCGTATCGGACCTAAATAAACATATATAAATATTGCGACGTGCCAGGTTTGGACCACATTAACTACTTCCTTAACTTTATAGGAGATATGTGATAATTTTTAGAAAATGTTTAGATATGCGTAAGTTACCAGATATAGTCTACCGAAGTATTAAATTTTCATACGTCATCTAATACAGATAAAGAAATGAATACGGGCAAATTATAAGAACATCGAACATTTTTTTCAAATTTTATGAAATTCCATCATATCATGATCATTTCATCTAAGGTTTTTGTTGGGAGATAAATTTAGATATAACAAGTTGTAAAGTATCGATGACTTGTTTCGCAAGTTATGACAGATAAATAAATTGAAAATTGTTACCCATATCATACTCACAACTTATATTGTTTTAGCAAATTTGTTTGTGTGTGTGAAATTTTAAGAGAATTGGATGCTTATTTCGCTTTCTTTGAACGTTAATAGTTATAATTATTAAAAATTTTGACACTTTACTTACTTGATGGAGTAAACCACACGAAAATTCATGTGTGTGGAAAAAAGAGAATGTTTATGAGAATGTCAGAGTGAATGGCTTTATCATTTAAAAGGATTGAGGGCCAAAATTATAATATTTATTTGTATTTAAAAGGGACAGCCTCGAAACGGCTTTAGAGTGAACCCTCTAGCATCTGATTTTTTATCTCTCACCTTGTGAAAAGGATCAGCTCCGGCTTGGATATTTTACTGAAAGACTATACATTCGTCTTTCCGGATAGTTTAACATTGATTGGAAGATATCTTGACTTATCGTCAGCATATGCGACAACTTTTGAACCTTGATTTGGTAATTCTAAGTTTGACTTCTGATTTCACTCAGCTCAGCCCTGATGATGAATTTACCAATTATTTGGGCGGGTCAAGAGAGATTCAATATATTTTGTAATATTTCAATTCTTATTCACATATTTTTTTTCAAATCAATAGAAATCCTTAAAATCACAAGGATGATACACATTTTTTTGAATTTTAAAGAACCCTATAGCGCGTTTTTGGATCGAAAGCCAGTGTTTGCCTAAGCTTGACAGACAAAATCTATCGGTTTTAGAAATTTATGTTGAAAACCGAAGAGAAAAAGCCACAAGGAGACACTATTCACCGAGTTTTTCCGAAATGGTTACTATTTGTTTACTTTTTGCATTTTGCCAATTGGGTCTAATGAAATGGTCTCGAAGGTTGAAACAATAATTCACGAATATTTGGAATTGTGTTGAAAAATTCACTTTAGTTAACATTACGGTTCCTAAATTAAAAGAATTATTACATGAAAAGTAACATAAAATTCTAAAATGCTAAAATTCTTTGCAAATTCAAGCATGGTTTGAAGTATTTAAATGCTGCATAAACTCAATATGGGTACCGTTTTATTGATTTATGCCAAAATCCATGAAAACCGAAAATAAGATTTGTAGAGAAACAGAAATTGCTAATTAAAACCGCATTTTGAAGTTGAGACCCTCTTTGAGTAAATGAGCGGAATAAAACATGTACGTACACACGTAAATATACATATAATTTGTAAATTCGAAAATAGGAACGTAACATCTAAATTTTCATTGCCTAAGACCATACATAATTTGCGATTTGCATGTGTGTATGTGCATGTTTGGACACGCATATATAATACATGTTCACATGAGTATATATACGAAACCTTCATACATTACGTAAAGCCCTTCTTATGTGTATTAACAAAATTCAGTTACATACCTATGTAGGTATATATGTATGTATCTACCTATATAGGTACAAACGTAGTTTGGATTTTAAATGAATACCTATACATTTTTGTACATACATACATATGTATGTAATTTATTTATATCCATATGCATAAATACATACCTATTCATTTTTCCTTCCATGGAATCTTTCTTATATGCTTTTTACACAAAATGTGGTTACATTGAAATGAAATCGTTGTGTCATCACATCCCTCTCTACCCGATGCTTCGTGCTCATGACTAATCTCTATGGAAATAAAAACAACAACAAGAATAGCGTGTCTTATATGCACTCTTTTAAAAATTGCAGTTTTTGTTATATGCCTAACTACCTAACCAGCTACATCTATGTTCGGTACATACAAAACTACTACATAAGATTAAATTGAAGCTACACGGCAGCTGCCTCTGGCACCAAAAGCAAGGCAAGCAAACGAACAACAGCCTAAAAAGTATATAAATTGAAATGGAGAAAGAGAGCATAAAAGCAGCATAAACATAAAGGCTCTGGCAGGCAGGCAGTAGGAGAATCATACACACATACGTTAATACATAACGACGCCAGCAAGCATATTGAGTGCGACAGAGTACTGAGTTTTATGACCAAATATCAGCTACAAAGTGAAACGACCTTTTAGTATCAAATCAACAACGCTTACAGACGGTTCGTGTGAGGAAAACCCAAGCGCATCATTCGGCAGAGTTTCAAACGACAGACAGACGCACACACACGGTGATATATACCCCCAACCTATAGCAAGGATAAACAGCATAAGTTTTTCTGTTCTGGCGCCTTCGTTTGGGAAACACACACAACGCTCTATCTCGTGCCCAAGAAAACACCACCAACAAAAAGAGAGATAGAGAAAAACAATAATTGAGTGAGAACAAGAATGAGTGAAACTTTTGTATATGGCAAATGAGAGTTTTAATGGGCCCACAAAAGAGTGAAAGAGAAAGGTTAATGAGTTCAACGCAAGAGTAAAAGAGATAGCCATAACATAACAGCAAAAAAGTCAATAACTCCAACAAAACGAAGCGCTCTACCTAAACGACAGCAAACACACGCACACACATTGTGTTATGTGTTTTTGTATTTGCCAAGCAAAGGTATATAAGCCGGCGCTTATATACAAAAGAAAAGTGAGCAGCATATGCATGTCAGGCAACGCGTCGTTCAACGATTTCGAAAACATTTCAACGCGGAACGTTGAGCTGTAAAGACGTTGAACGGGAAAACTCTGTAGTTTTTGTGAAAAATTACACAAGAAAAAAAATTAATTAAAAATAAATAATAAAGGAAAAATTCAAAAGTGTTTAAAAGAAAAAAAAAAATTTAATTTTTTAAAAATTATTTGAATAAATGCTGAAGTAAAAATTTCAAAAAAAATAAACAAAATTAATTTAAAGCAATTTATGCTTCGTGTGTGAGAAGTGGTGGAAATATTTCATTTCACATAAAGCCAGCCAGCCAGGCCTGTTCGAAAAATATAAAGAAGCTACAAAAAAAAAAGTGAAGTGGAGAGACAAAAATAATCACCATTGAAAACGGAATGCATGATAACTAAATAAATGCGTTGTATGCAAGTCAGTCGCTGTAAATGTGTGAGTGAGATGACGATTGGTGGTGGTGGTGTGTGAAGAATAAAAACAAATAGCATACACACGAAACTAAATAAGAAAGAAAGAAGAATAAAATTGAAAGCAAAAGAAATAAACGAAAACGTTATGTTTGTTCATTACACAAAAGAAAGAAAAGAAGAAATAAATTACATCTGAAAAATAAGAAAAGAAGCAGAAAGAGAAAAAAAAAACAAAAATAATTGTGAAAGTTTGATAAAAATCAGTTGGCCAGTGGATAATTGCCTTACCCCCAACTCTTGGATTATTTGGATTAAATTATTTTTACAAACAATTTTTTGGATTACTTACTTACCCCCCATCATCACAATGGATTACTATTTGGATTATTTTCAATTTAACACAAATGTGGATTACAATTTTTATTAATTAATGGTAAGTTTTAATATGTGTTTAAGATTTTATAATAATTTATAGTCTATATTTTTTGAGAAAATTTGTCTCCTTATTTTTAAGATTTTCTTTTTTTCCTTGAACTAAACATTTCAAAACTCCAACACTTTTTTCTATTTCTTTTTTCCTTTAACATATTTCCACCACTTTACAATAAAACCCAATTTATTTACACACACACACCCATACATTCTCACTCCGGCCCTAATGCCTTTGCTTTTTCTCTTTTTTTTTTGTTATTTTAGTAACGTAGAAAACAAATTAAAACTCCAGCTGTAGCTGTTGTATGTTTATCTGTTACAGAAAAACCAAACCAAAAACAAAATTTCAAATACCCAAAACGCTCGTTTCAAACAACTGAAAGTAAACATAAATTCTCTTTTTTGCTGTTGTTGCTGTTTCCTCCTCTTCTGCTTCTTTTTCCATGGTATTGCGCTGCCAGCCCTATCGTTGTTGTCGTCGTCTTCTCTGTTTTATGTTCTCTTTCTTCTCGGCCTTGCTCACACTATGCTGGGTTGATAAAAATGAAACAAACGCCGCAAACATTTCCAACAGAGTTGAGTACAACAATAACAACAACAATAGCAGCAAACAGTAAAGGCGCGCTCTTTGCCTGCAAGTGATGCCAATGCACTGTAAAATTTGTGAAAATCGCAAAATGTGACGAAATCTTGATTTCAAATCAGTTTTCCTAAAAAAAACCATATAATTTTATCGCAACTAAAAATAGAGCTGACAAACTACCGATTGTGGCCAAAGAGCCCAATAAAGATGATCAAAATCGACTGTATTAGGGGTTCCTTGGCAAAATGTGACGAAATCTTGATTTTCAGGCAATTTTGCTTGAAAAACCAGATGAGGATCATTTTATCGCAACTAATATTAGAGCTGACAAGTTACCGATGGTGGCCAACTTCAAAAATTTCCGATAAAGTGGTTTCCAGGCACAGAATATTAGTTTTGTCCCTCTATTTTTTAATGGGAAAACTGGTAAAAGATCGAAATGTGAAATGCACTCGAAGAGAAGTGCTCTACCCAGAATGTAAAGAAAAAATATCAAAATTCAATGGCAATTTTTCAAAATCAGCATATCAGCCAATCAGAAACTACATCTTTTTTCCCGAAAGTAAAAAGTTGTAAAGGAGAAACCCTCTATGTCCGTGTCCTTATTTTCCGAGAAAAAAAAAAACACTGAAAGTTGCTAAAAGTAGCAAATTTTATTCACGTGAAGGAACAAAGCTATTCTCTTCAATTCTATTCTGGAACGGGTCCGGACAGAGAGTCTCCCGATTTTGTTACTCTCCGATTACATTGCTTTTCAAGGAGTCTGACTGAAAGTGTGGAGAGAATTACGCTCATTGAAGGCACGTGGGGCCGTATTTGTCTGGCCCTGGTCCAGAAGGAGAAAAGGGCCATACTTATGAGTATATATTGGTTTCGCCCTTCTATCCAGATGTCTCCCAGCACGTTTTAGCACAGCCAACTGCGGATGAAGCCAGTTGACCTACTCGAATTGGAAAATATCGTTTTTCAAGAATTGTATTGGAATAATGACCTATTTTTTCGATGCCATCATGCGTTGTACACCTACATTTTATTACGGAACAATTTCTAACTACCAAATAATATAAAAATATTTAAAATTTTAGATTTGTATGAATATCATCAAACATACCCCTGACACACCCCAACATACCAAATTGACTTGAGAATAATATTTTAATAAGCTTACAAACATAAGCCTAAAGCTTGAGAAAATCTTGAGAATGTATTGAGAAATGTTTGTTTAACAATTATAGAATAATCGAAAAGGAACCCTTATTCATAAGCTTATTCTTGTAATTGCAGAATAAGCTTACGAAAGTAATATTTTATAAAGCCTATTTTTTCAATGGTAAAAAATATTTATTTATTCATTTTTTAATTATTTTACACATTTCATTCATTGATTGCCATCCCAGCTGTCACTGCATCCTGTTGCCTTGATACCTAGATGCTTTCTTTCCCCTTATTTGAGCTTCTGTATCTCCTCCACTTATTCTTCACTTCTGTTGAATTCCTGCAACTTTTTGACGCCTCCATTCTGAAATGAGATTGAAATAATTTATACTACAGATTCCCAGATTTATTATTCATCATTACCTTAGAGTTTCGTCCGGAAATGGGTCCTAAATTCGCGTGATTTTGATTTTAACCAAAGAAAATAATTTTTTGTTGACAATTTTCACAAAAAAAATCAAAACAAATTTGTCAACAAAGGACAGATTTGAGAAAAGTTTGTGCAAAAAAGTGTTTCTCAAGCATTGTTGAAAAATTCTTATGATAAACTATTTTCATAATATTATTCTCAAGCTGTATTGTATTTTTGGTATGTTGGGACGATATAGACGATATCTGCTGATACGAAAATTTTCGATAATAGGCATTCTGTCGTATATATGTATATAAATTAGTCTATGGCTATACCTAAGGACTGTAATGGCTGTTGGGGCGTATTCGTTTTTCTCCCGAAGAGTTTTGAACAGAGCACAGATTTGCTCGTTTTAACTCGGGAGTGAAACTTGCTCGCGAGCGGTAATGCTCGAAGAGTAGGAGTTTTCTATGGGGATTGCTCTTTTGTTTTGTGGGAGCGGGGTGAAGAGGCAGGCGTTCTGGCATTCTGTCGTATATATGTATATAAATTAGTCTATGGCTATACCTAAGGACTGTAATGGCTGTTGGGGCGTATTCGTTTTTCTCCCGAAGAGTTTTGAACAGAGCACAGATTTGCTCGTTTTAACTCGGGAGTGAAACTTGCTCGCGAGCGGTAATGCTCGAAGAGTAGGAGTTTTCTATGGGGATTGCTCTTTTGTTTTGTGGGAGCGGGGTGAAGAGGCAGGCGTTGTGATCGTCTACAGAAAAAATACAAATACATGACGAAAAATAAAGGAGTGCTCGGCTAGAGTAGTATTTGCTCGTTTTTGAGCGAATTTTGCTCCCACTCTAAATCGTCCAAAGAATTCGAACGAATCCGAAAAACAGAGTTTAATCGATTTGCTTTTTTCTGTTCCAAGCAGCGCCCAACTCGAATACGAGCGAGATCCACTCTTTACTCGAATTTTAGCGAGCTTTGCGGATGTACATTTTTCTTTTGATATTTGTTTTTACCAAATCAATCCAGATTAAACTTTTTAATTGATAAGAACAGATTCGCAACACTGATTTTGTTTGTACGACTTTATTCGATCGTAAAATATCTCCATTGGTAATAATCCAGTCGCTGCGACGGTTCCATATGGTAACACTTCCAGTCTGTATGTATGTATTTCCTGTATAAAAAAAGCTTACGACGCCCAATCTGAGCGACGATTCCGTACGGTACTCCGCAGCGAATGGATTACCATAGGAAAAAAATATTGACAGTACCATCGATTTAGTGCTGGCAGACTTTTGAATGGGCTTCTTCCAATACATTAATTTTTAAAGAGAAACGCTTGGGAAACTCCCAAAATTTAATTGTAATCAGGTCGCTATAGCTACAAAATCTCTCAATAATTTTTAAAATTTCAATTATTGGTCTATTACAGGACTGCTAGAATGTATTTTTTTACTACAATAACCGATTTTCCCTTTATGATATCGAAATAAATTGCAAAACTAGTAGATATGTCTTCTTGCAGGTTCTGGGACAGAGCATTTGAGTTTGATGCATTGTATTTGTAAATAACCCTATTAAATATACTAAAAAAATCGCTTAAAATAAACGAAGAAAGGGCCACACTTATTTTGATGTCAAATTGTGTTTAACTTTCCTCCCCAAAAACCTTGTCTTTTATTATTTTCTCTTTTTCCCGTTCGAAGAACCTTCCGAACTTTCCTTAAATTCTATAACAATTCTAACAAATCTTCTGCTGTCTTTTGCCTGAATATCAACTCCTTTTTGTCTCATTTCCCTTTACTCGAATTATCGCCACTTATCTTTTATGATTTTGTGTTATCCCTCCCAAATCTAATATATGTATTTTTTTTCTTTTTATATTCAAACCTTAAACAATTTACAGTTTCAAAATATCAGATTTCATTGCGAAAAACGCAAACCAAGCCAAACAGAAATTGTGACACAGAATTATGTCCCCAGTACCGCTACCTGTGGCCAATACAGCAGCACTAACGGCAGCGACAGCTTCATCATCCACCTCAGCAGCGGCGAAGACCGGCAACGACACGACGACTACAGTCAACATGGCAAATTCTAATACATCCTATCGGCAAATGGCCCAGGCAACGACGAATGGCAGTGGTGGTAGTGCGACGGCTGTTGCCACGGCATCATCGACGACAGCCACAAACAACAACAACGAAGCAAATAAATTAAAAATGGCAACGTCGTCCACAAACAGCTGCATTTCTGCCGAGGCAGCAGCAGCGGCGGCGAATGTCACAACTTTGCAACAATGCGATAGCAGCAGTGCCGCCAGTACCACTTCAGAGAACAGCTCATCTTCATCATCCTCATCGGCCCTGAGTGTTAAGAATGAAAATTGTGATACGGTCATAAAAACCGAAATGGAGAACAGCGAGAATTGTAGCGCCGATTCAATGCAACAAAATGAAGCCAATGATCTCCAGTTAGCTGCCATGAAACACCGGCCCATACTTTTGAGCTCCATGAATCCGCATATCATTTGCAGTTTATGTTTTGGCTATCTGATAGATGCCACCACCATTGTGGAATGTTTGCATTCATGTAAGTATAATCCTGCTGTCGGGCATTTGTTTGTGTTTTTATGTTTTGTTATTCAAGGCCAAGGTAGGACTATTACTACCTTGGCCTGATTTTCTACGTCTTTGCAATCTTTAAATAAATGTCCAAGGCCAGCAGTAAATACAACAACCCTTAAAGGAGTTGCTGATATTATGTAGTCTGTCAATTGTGATTATTCAAGATTCTTATCTGATTTCAGGATAGAGAGTTATTTTTTAATGAATTTTGAACAGAAGTTTTAACTTCGAAAAAGAAAACTACCCTTCAAAGGCCATGTAATGTTGCTGTCAACAAATGATTGAAATTGAATTTTGAATACATAATGAAGAGCTTTCAATTAGTCTCATTCGAGAAAAATATTTTCCTTATCTTTGGTCCTTACTCAAGGAGTGTAAAAAGATTCCAACATATCACCCTTTTTTCCAAAAGGAGTGGAAAGCACGACAGCGAAACACGTCGCATAGTGATGAGTGCTTGATAGAGTCTCTCTGGCTTTCCTTTCCAATTGAAATTCCAGATCATTAAGCTCGTCTCGAAGGAGAAATCAACAAATAAATCGTAAAAATATGATCTTCGCCTCAGAAAGACAAAATTTAAAATTGAAAATTAAAAATAGTTAAAATGTAATTTTTTTCAAGACAGCTCCATTTTTCTTAGTCTGTATAAGGACTTCGAGCTAAGGCGAGATCCATGCCTAATTTTAAGTTTTACTAAATTCGATTTTTTATTGAGTTTTATCGCTTCTTAAGCTAATGAACGCTTGAAAATGACAGCTATTATGAGGTATATTCGCTAACTTTTCTTTCAAAAGTTACTCCGGTAATTCGACTGAGAGAATTTCATCCCCACTCCCAAAGACGGCAGAGTAAGCTAGTCATTTTACGCTGTAATTAAATATAAAACTATTATTATTTGAAAAGAAAACGATTTTTAAAAAGTGTTACCTTCACTCCGAAGGAACTGAATAAAAATCTGCTAATCAAACTGGGGAATTTTTGTCCTGTAGAAATTTGCAAACTCTCAGTGACTCAACTGAAAGAAATTACTCTTTCTATTCTCGTCTCTAATTATGGACCATCCAGCAACAATTAGAGTACAGATTTGCTCATTTTGTTCGCGAGCAGGATTGCTCGAAGATTGTGAATTATTTTCAGAGTCAATTTTTTACTCATTTCGAGTTACTCCTCTTTGATTTTAAACAAATTTCCACTGAAAACGAAGCAAATATGCTCTCTCATATTCGAGCTACATCAAAAAATTGTGGTTGCTCGAGAGCAATTGCTCGAATTCGAATGAGTTCCACTCTTTGTACAAATTCGAGCGAGTATTTCAGAGAAATTCCTTAATTTGCCTCCTTAGAAAACAGGCTAAGTTCCAAACGCTTGCAAATATTTATTCCAATTTATTCCTGATGGAACTTAAACCTAAATCCGAAAATCCAAAACAAATAAGAACCAAATTGCCCGGCCAGTTCTTGTTTAAAGATTAGCTACATCGACAAATTGTGGTTGCTCGATTTTTGTTTTTCGGAGAGCGCTCGCACGAATTCGAGTGAGTTCCACTCTTTGTACAAATTCGAGCGAGTTTTTCGAAGCTCTGGCAACAATTCGATATTGAAATTCCCAAATGTGTCTCTTTAGAGATCAGGCTGCCTGCGTCACAAACGCTTGCATATATTTATTCCAATTTATTCCTGATGGAATTTAAACCTAAATCCGAAATCAGATCAAAGAATCCAAAACAAATAAGAACTAAATTGTCTGGCCGAGCCTAATTTAAAGATTAGCTACATTGAAGCATTGATTTTGCTCAATTTTGCTTTTCGGAGAGCGCTCGCTCGAATTCGAGTGAGTATCACTCTTTTCACAGACTCGAGCTAGTATTTCGAAGCTCTTGCAACAATTCGATATTGCCTAAGTTCCAATCGCTTGAATATATTTATTCCAATTTATTCCTGATGGATTTTAAATCTAAATCCGAAATTAGATTAAAAAATTCAAAACAAATAACAACCAAATTGCATGGCCAGACCTAATTTAAAGAGAAGCTACATTGAAAAATTGAATTTGCTCTATTTTATTTTTCGGAGAGCTTTTGCTCGAATTCGAGTAAGTTAATCTTTTTGTATAAATTCGATCAAGTTTTTCCGGAAATCTGGCAATAATTCGATATTGAAATATCTATATGTGTCTCCTAGAGATCAGACTGACAAAGGTTCAATCCCTTGCATATATTTATTCCAATTTATTCCTAATGGATTTTAAACCTAAATCGGAAATCAAGTTCCAAATGAAATTAGAACCAAATTTCCAGGCCAGAACTAATTTAAAGATTGCATTTTACCGATTGCATTAAAATTTCCACTTTGAAAATTATTAATAATTTTTTTTCTTTTATTTTTCTTCTTTTTATTTACTTTACAGTTTGTCACAGCTGTTTAATAAAACATTTACGCACCGAACAATATTGTCCACGTTGTGAAATGATGATAAATACCGCAAAACCAAACATAAAGTAAGTATGAACAAACAAGTTGGACAGGGTGACACAAAATGAATGGACAAATTTAAAAAAAAAATTGAATTTGACTCAAAATTTTGCAATTGTTCTGGTTTTCAAGTTATGGCCAGCCATATATGAGCTCCGAAATCAATTGTTTTACATTAAATTTCTGTGTCCATTTATTTTTGTAACACCCTGTATTAAAACTGAAATTACCCAACTCTCTCCATGCCATGTCGTCATTTTAGAGCGCCAAAATTAAATTGCCGACGGCATTTTCCATTGCTGCCTTTATTGCCGGCCTCCCTCCCTTGTTTATGCAGTTGAAATTATATAATTTAAGAAATACATTTCCAAGAATGCTGTTACTTAAGTACTATTCTTAAAGACAGACACAGCAACAACAACAACAACAAAATATTCATTAAAATTGTATAAAACCAGACAGGAACATTTCAAACATTGCAACAACAACCATGACTGACAACAGACAGACACTAGGCCATGAAATTTATTTTGTCTGTCCTTCTCACGGTGACGACGACGACGTCACAGAGTGATAGTTTTCTTTTCATTCGACATTTCCAGCGAGGAGCATTGTTGTTGTGTTGTTGAGGAATGCAAACACCCTGAATTTTCTCCAAGAAGTAATGAGGCTTATAATGAAAACATCTGCGTCAACATTTCATTGCAGCACAGCACACATTTTATCCATCCATCCAGTCAGTCAGTCAGCCAGCCAGCCAGACAAGCATACTTCAGAGTATATGTCTGTCCATTTTGTTGCTCTATCTAAACATTAAAACTAACACACCAAGCTGGCTCAGTGGTGTGCACACAGACACAAGCCAACAAAAAAAACCGTGCTATGTGAAGAACGGACGGACGGACGGATGGGACGGACTATAATTCCAGCTTTGTTCCGTCAGTTATAAATGATATTGGCCTCGCACAATTCTTTGGCGACAATGTCATGCTGTTACCTGTTTAACATAGTCCTTCTTCTCCTTTTTTTTGGCTATTTTCTTTAAGTCCTCAACTGCGTCCCTTCTTGTTTTTCCCGTGAAAATATCGTTGGCAATAATCTTTGGAAAATCTGCAATGACAATTGGCAAAAATTATCGAAACACAAAAACGTTTTTGTCAGGATTATTTAATAACTTTTCTCTTTTGTCCTCACTTTTCACTCGTGTTATTTTCAGGCCAGACACAACATTGCAGGCCATTGTCTATAAACTTGTGCCGGGTCTGTATGAAAAGGAATTAATGCGTAAAAGAGCCTTTTATAAGGATCGTCCTGAAGAAGCCGCCTTAGCCTCGCCCGAACAAAGGGGCGATGATACAGAACATTTGATTTTTAGTCCCTCGGACTATATGTCAATCTCCTTGGAATATGCAGACACAGAGTAAGTATCAATGATCCTGGTCCTCTAACCCTTTATATTCCGGCAGATAAACATCCCCTACAAACAATTTTACTAATCATACAATCTATTCTCCCTCTCTTCCATTTCTTGCAGAGAGCTTACCCATTCCGGTCCTGAATACATTGAATTATTAAAACCCCGCTACTTAAAATGCCCCGCCATGTGCACAGTGGCCCACCTCAAGAAACTGGTCTATGGTAAATTTGAAATCAACTCGAATCGCTTCACCATTGACATCATGTACAAGGTGAAGACCATTATCCTGCTGGATCACTACACCCTAATGGATGTGGCCTACATCTACACCTGGAAACGTGATGCCCCCATGCGTTTCTATTTCCGTGTGAAACAATCCCTGCGACCGGCAATACGTGTCAAGAAAAATCTCGTACCTCAGACAAAGAAAGAAGTGCCGCTGGCCGAAGAGGAAGCCACCAGTAAATTGCTTTCCCAGGCAATGTGTATCGTTCATGAACCCACACCTTCCATTAAAGCAGCCGTGCCTGAGACGAAAATCCTGGAACCCGAAGAAATCAAACAGGAAAATGAGGCAGAGGTCTCATCGACCACAGAAACACCGCCCATCGCTGCCAAGGAAGATGAGGAGCCAAAACAATTCGAAATTGTCCAACCTCCCCAGAGTCCTTCTATAAGTTCCCAGGAATCCAATTTGACTGATAAACTTAAAATAACCATTGTCAACAAAGCCGCCAAGGAAAAGTCCAGCGAATCCAAAACTGCTGCCAAAGCCTTAAAAGAAAAGCAAAAGGAATTGCACAAAACTTCTCCTTCAACCTCAGCCACGCCCAAGGACGAACGCAAGGTGGAGAACATCAAATTGAAAATTGATTTGTCAAAGCAAAACTCGGTCACCATCATCAACATGTCCGATCCGGAACGCAAGGAAATTGTAAAACCAGTTCGCCCAGAAAAGGAATGGAAGGTAACCAAATCCAAGAAGGAAAAGGATGGCAGTCCCAAATCTTCTCCCAAGTCTTCACCGCACAGCGAACGCAAGAGTAAAACTCCAAGCCCCCTAACCGTGCCACCTCTCACAATAAAAGCCGAACGTATTAGCCCCTTGGCAAAGCTTAGCTCTCCCGCCACAACTGCTCCTGCAAGTCCCACTGAAAAACCTGACGAAGCACAGAAATCTGAATTTTTAAAATCCTTTGCCCTTACCCCCACCAAAAATGTAAAGGCCGACAAACCAAAGGATCAAGTGAAGAATATTTCGAAAGATGTAACGCTTTCCCTGATACCAAAACCTGCTGTCAAAGAGTCCGCAGCACCATCTCCATCATCTTCTTCCTCGAAACGCAAGAGCAAGGAACCCATTAAAGCTGTTATTAAAAAGCCAAAACTATCTCCTCCCTTGGCCACCGAAGACTTTAAAATCAAATTGCCACCCATTCCAGCCAGCAATAATCAAAAGTCCGGAGATGCGTCAGCGACAACTGCTGCCACCGGTAGTGAGAGCAAGAAACCAATGATGCCACCACCAGCACCCTTGGCGGTAATGAAACCACCATCTCTGATTAAGAAACCCAGCAAACCGGCGCAAAATAAAATATCTGCTGCTCCGCCAGGATCCCTTACACCGCACCCAATGCACAACAATGTCCAGTTGGCAGCGCCCGGTAGCCGTACACCCATTGCCAAGCGCTACCAGCCCATCCTACCCAAGGCTGCTCGTCCCAATCCCTTTGCTAACATCCCCACAGATGTCAACAAAATTCTTAAGGATGCCGGTACGGAAATCAAAAGCATACCCAATGAGCCAGTCTCATCCAAAGTCTATGGTCCAAAGGCGGATGCCAACAGTGGCACACTTATGGGCCCGCCTCAAATGGCTGCACCACCAGCCAAGGTCAATGCCACAAGCCGCAGTGGTGGTGGTTCATCGAAGAACAACTCCAACAAAAATAACAGTTACTTGAATTTGGCTCTATTCAATGCCTCCAAATCGAAAGGCAATGAAGTTCCACCTGGGTGCCGAACCCCCATGTACACTCCAAACTCACCCATATACTCCCCCAGCTCACCACAATATGCTCCCAACTACAATATTCCGACCATGCCCACCTACAAATACACCCCAAAGCCCACAAATCCCAACAACTCGTACCTGCAAAGTGTTTTGGGCAATAACAGCCAAATGTCTAGCCTTTTCCCCAGTCCACCTGTCAAGAAGGATGGTGGCTCGAACAACAGCAGCAGCAACAACAACAGCAACAGCATCTCGTCTTCATCAACAAATAATTCCAACAATTCCAGCGTTACTTCTCACAGGGCAGAAAATCAGGCACCCAAGCGTGTTTATCCCTTCGCCCGTAGCCCCAGTCCCAGTGAAGATCCGCCAGAGAAGCAATTGAAAGTAAAGTCCCTGCTCACATCCTGCAACATAAATATTCCCTCCTCACTCTCAATTACCATAACGCGGGAAGATGGGGATCCCTCCTCAAATGGTTCGGCCCAAAAGCACAAGAGTCCTGTCAATAACTACATTGAAATCTTGAAGTTGCCCGAGCAGACCAGCAGCGACAACAGTGAGAACAAGCGATCATCTCCCCCCGTGGCAGCCAACTCATTGTTTCCCAATCCACCTGTGAAGCGTGTAGCCACCCCGCCTTTAAATGCGACAAACCAGCCCAAGCTACTTGCGCCACCTGTTCCAGTGTCGAATATGCAGAAGTCGGTTACGGCGAATCCACCTGCAGCCAATAATAGGCCCGTGGCACCCACCAACATGAGTGTGGGCGGCAAGAACAATGGTTTGAACAAACCAGTTGCAAACAATAAACCCACCACCCCACCTTCAAGCCTCAAATCACCTGTGACCGGCATTGACAAGAAAGGTACACCTAGTCCTGAAAAGCGGCCCATGACCAGTCCCAGTGATCAAAAGTCTCCCAAATCTCCAAATGGCGATGGCACCGGTAAGAAGTTCAGACACATACTGCCCCGTCAAATTGTGGCTCCCTCCACACCAGAGGTTAGTCTGCCCAGCAACAAACAAAATGGCAATGTCATTGGCACCTACTCCTCGCCGAATGGCGTCAATGTCAAAATACATTCCAACAAGAAGGTCAATCAGAGCAAGAAATCTCCTGTTAGTCAACAGCAACCACAACAACAGCAGCAGCAACAGCATTTGTCGGTACCACCAGCACCACCACACCAGCCGACATTGGCTGGCAATTTGAAACCTCCCCAACAATCGCCAACAAATAAACCCCAAATTAAGGCTCCCACCAAATCTCCACAAGGCAATCGGACACAGAAAGCCAACCAGGCCCAAGCCCAGGCTGCAGCCGCTACAGCTAAACTGAATCCTGCACAGAACAACAATGTTATGCCAACACTGCCACCTGTTATGCCACATCCCATGCAGAGCATGTTGCCGCCACACTTGGGTGCAGCAGCAGCTGCGGCCAATCAAAATGAATTGAGTAAATTCCTCAAAGAGAATCTGCTCAGGGCCCAGGTTCAAGCAGCCGTGGCCAATCAATCAAACATGTTCTATCCGTATGCAGCAAATGCAGCCGCTGCTGCCCAACTGGGTCAATTCAATCCCGCCATGTTCAACTATCAGCAGGCCTACATCATGGACCAGTTGTCGCGCATGCAGAGAGCCGGCAACGATGCCTTCACCGAGTACATGCAGAAGCTGAAGAGCAGCATGGAAATGCCAAAACCTGTAGCCGCCGTCGATGGCAGCAAGCCATGCGATGCCAAGCAACTGCCGAAATCGGCCTCTAGTCCCAAATCATTGACCGCCCCACAACACAGCCCCTCAACATCATCGTCTGGCGGGGCCAATTCAAAGGAGCAACTGGCGACCAAAACCAAGTAAAGAGGAGACAATTATCACCTCCGCCGAGCAGTAAAGAGGAAGTAGTAATGGAAGGAATCAAATTCCTTGAAAAAATTATCAAATCTTTAAAAAAAGAAAGAACAATTTGTGTATGTTTCCTTAAACCACCCCCGCTCCTAGTTAAGTGAATGTAGGTATTTTTAAGTGTTATTTATTCTAATCTCTTGATTTTAAGACACCAATTTTAAGTCTCCATAAAATAATTGTTTCTTTTTTATTGAATCGCTTGTTTTGTTATTGAAGCGGAGGGGTAAGGCTTATCTTCCCCCCGACATAGCATTTAAGACGCTAATTTCATTTTCATTTTTTTTTTAAATTTTGATGAGCATTGTATTCAAACTCCAAGTATTATAGCCTGTACATAAGTAAATGTAGGATTTAAGTATCTCTTGTGTAATTAAGTATTCTTAGAAGAAGAAAACATTTTTGTATAAACTGTATAAAAAAATTGTGTAAATAATCTCCAACTAAAGACTTTATAGTTTTAATGTGAAAAAAAAAAAATGAAACAATAAAAAACAACTCCAAATATTTTTATGAAAACATTTTTCGTTTTATTTTATTCCTCATTCGTTGCCAGCTACTCTCTATCATCCATGCATTTGTCGTCTCTCCGACTGCTTCGACTATTTCACCCTGAGAACTTCTCTGATGCCAAAGGCAATTGTCTTGACAAAAATCCTTCAAAAGATCTTCATCACAATGAGGGTCGCACACACACACACACCAACACAGACCCACACTGCCACAGTACGACGATTTCATTGTCGATGACAATAATTCTACGCTACTGCCGATGATTAAATTTCTGATGATTTATGTGCGTGTGCTCTGTTCTGCCTGCTTCACTAGCTGACTGACGGAGTGACTGGTTGATTGTTATGGCCTAGCCTGCTGGGGTCGGTTGTTCTGTCGGTCTCTTGCACACATGCGACAAATGTTGTTTGCCCATAACAAAAATGAAATAAGAAGACATAAATATCGCCTTTCAATGCGGCGCACATAATAATCCGCACAGTGGAACGAAAACAAAAAATAAATAAACATATCTGATTTGTGAAATGGTATTTACGCCGTTTATTTCTTAAAAAATACTTCGTGAACAAAGTTGCCATGAAGAATCCACCATTTTCTGGAAGTTTTGGAATGACAACAGGGACACAATATTTTTTGAGGTCCTTATCAAATCCTTACGTTATTCACGATTTCTTCAAAACTCTTGAAAAATAAGGTTGTTAATTTTAACAAATTCAAGTTTTTTGCTAGATCTTTAAAAATCTACAACTTTTCGCAATGATGTTCTTGAAAATTAAAAAAAAGGTAAGATTTTTTTACAGAACATCTGTAAAATACAGAATGTCCTGGTATTAATTAAAAAACGGCTTTCGATTCGCAATAATCTCAATCTTTGGCCATCAGCACTTGCAAATTTCTTTTTAAAAATTAACGAATCTCTCGAAAATTTTTCAACAAAAATCCATTATTTCTGGGCCAAAAAGTTGTTAAATAATATAGGCTCAAGCTTTTTTAAATGTTCTCACAAAATATACGACTTCATGTAAAATCCTTTAGAAAACAAGTTAAATAGTCTCAGTCGTTGTTGCCGACAGATGTATAGCCCCAGCCTTGTCTTATGATTATTCTAACTGATGACCCTTTATGGGGAAGCTTCCGCAGCAGTTGGGCAATATTGACCAATTTGTATCTGACCTCCGACTGATAAAAATGAGGTATCAGAACGGTTTGGCAGATATCAATCACAACAGATCTTGCGGAAGCAAAACATGTTTGGAAGTGTGAAATTTGAAGAGAGTTGGATGCCTATTCCGATTTTTGTAAGCGTTTTGTTTTTCAAAATTTTGAACCCTTTGTGGGGGAAGTACCAGAAAGAGTGCACCGATACATTGCATTTTCAAAGCAGATACTGAAATTAGTCAACATAATGGCAGAAATTTGAAGCGAAGCACATCCTTTTTTCGTTTTGGTTTTTCAAAATGTTGACCCTTTGTGGGGGAGGTACCAGAAGAAATGGTCCGATATCTACCATCTTTATAACAGATCTTGAGTTGATAAAAACAAATTTCTGATTGGAATCGGATGTCAATTTCGCGTTTTACGAGCCTCATTTTTATTTAAAATGTTGACCCTTTGTGGGGGGGGGGGGGGGGAGTAACAGTAGGACTGAACCGATACATTCCATCTTAATAGCATATCTTGTAAGAGAACCGGTTGCTTATTTCGGATTTTATAATCGTTTTGATTATTCCAAACTTTGACCCTTTGTGGGGGAGGTACCAGAAGGAATTGTGCTATCTCTACTATCTTTATAGCATATCTTGTGTTGATGGAAATATTGAGATGTTCAAAGCGTGGATGGAATCGAATGTTATTTTCGTGTTTTATAATCTTCATGAATATTCAAAATTTTGACCATTTGTGGGTGAGGTACCAAAAGGAGTGGACCGATATATCCCATCTTCACACCAGACCTTGGGCTAATAAAATTATTGTGACGTGTTTAATTTGAAGAGGACCGGAAGCTTATTTTGGATTTTATGCTCGTTTTGGTTATTCAAAATGTTAACTCTTTGTGGGGGAGGTACCTGAAGAAGTGGACCGATATATTCCATCTTTACACCCGACCTTGACTTAATAAAAATATTGTGAAGTGTGTAATTTGTAGACAATCGGACTCTTATATCACATTTTATAAGAGTTTTGATTATTCTAAATTTTGACCCTTGATGGAGTGGACCGATATTGTCCATTTTCGCACCTGTCTTAGCACTGATGCAAATATTAGGATATGTAAAGTTGGAGCAAAATCGTGCAGTAAATTATTTTCTTTGAAAATGTTGACATTTTGTGGGAGAGGTATCAGGAGAAATGGACCGATATTGCCCATCTCCGAACTAGGTCTAAATTTGACAATAATTTTACGATGTGCCAACTTTGAATAAAATTGGATTCTTCCTTCGAGAGTTATCGTGTGCACCAGCCAAACAGACAGACGGACGGACAGACATCGCTTAATCGACTCCAAATGTCCTGAAACGAATTTGGTCCAAAGAGACGTAGGGTCTAAAACCATTATTTCGATGTGGCACGTTTTTGCCGTATCAAATGATATATGCCCTCTGTAGCCATATGGCTGAGGGTACAAAAATGATGAAAAATCCTCGATTCTTACAAAAGAGTCATTAAAAATGTTTTCAATAAAACCATCAATTTATGGCTGAAGATCATTAATAAAATCTAAAAAATCCACATCGCATCCGAAAACTGGGACATCTTGAAAATCAACGATTTTTGGAAATTTCGGAATTTTCAGCATGTTTTACCACGTGTGTTTTTTTAGGAAAAATGTCCTACAGCCCTTAAAAAATCAAACTTTATCACTTATTTTTTATACCTTTAATAAATTGTTTAAATTCATGTCATCAAAATATAGAATACCTGGACACTTATATGGTGTCTATACCGAAACTTGGACCTACATATACAGTTCTCCGCAAGGGAAGATACTGGGAATATCAATGCCAATTTACAGCGAATTTGGACTAAAAGTGTGGCTAATACATCGAAAAAATTCTCAATCTCTAAGTATAGTTATATGGGGTATATATCAAAACAGGGACCTCTATAGTCCATTTTCAGTACCAAAATTCGTACAAGACCTAAAACACAGCTGAGTAAAATTTTATGAATCTACTTCATTTTGTTCGGAAACTGGAGTGAGTTCCGTAGACGTATCAAGGGTATATATAAGTTGTGGGATTTTAAATGTATATTTCGAGTTTCTATGTTACAATCATAATATACCCTAACACCCACGATTTTAGGTCAAGAGGTCCTAAACTAAAACTACACAATTTATATTTATATATAAAATATATATTTTCGGTCGAGGGGGCCTTAGGGATACTCCTTCAAATTCTCTATTTTCAGTCAGAGATTTTTTAAAACATATTTTTAAGAATCCAAGGCTTAAGGTCTGGTGGTCCCTTAATTTTTTTTAATACATAATCTCGATTAGGAGGTCCTTAAAAATATTCTTACATTTATGTAGGTATTGCCAAACATTCAAAATAATTCTAAGAAATTGACGATTTTTGTTCGGAAATTTGAAAAATCCCTACCTATTTTTGAAGAAAATTTAATTTTGGAAAATATTAAAAAAAAATGATTATTTCAAATTTTGAGTTTTTTAATGGAGGTACGACTAGGAGTGTGACGATATTGTCCATTTTTGCACTTGTCCTATGTCTAAGTCTAATAGGTACCAAACAAATATGACGACGTTCGACGTTCTAACCAAAATTACTTTGACCCCTCCCCTGCCCTGTTTGAATATGGAATAGCGCACATTTCGCAACACTGTGCAACGAAATTTAGAAACAAAACAGAACCGGCAAACATTAGAAACGCCAGAACAGACGATAAACAACAACAATTACGTTGATGATGAAAACCCCGCGCTTACGCACACGGAGCAGAAACAACAACAAAGATACAAAAACTTCCAAAAGAAATTCCTTAACCGGAAATAACAGCAAAACTACAACAACAACAAAAACAACCACAGCGACTATAGCAGCGGCAATAGCACGAAATAACCTTTTGGCACAAAACCATCATCGCAGATGAGAGGAAAATAATTCGACCCACAAAAAAGAAAAAATACCCAACATAGACCCACACACACACACGCACACTCTCAAACACATGAAAATCGAAAGAAGAGCGTTTATCTCAACAATCGTATCTAAAAGCATTAAATTTTGTTGCTGGACTACAAATGTTGTGTTGTTGTTGTTGTTGCTATAGTTGAATTATTTCCTTGGGTCTGGTTCGCTGGCATTCATTTATTTGTTTTTCCTCCTCGACGATTGCTGGGTTTGATGGCCGTGGTGGTGGTGGTGGGTTTTTCTTGCAACGTTCAATTTGTGACACTCACACACACACACACAGAGTGGGGTGCACACACGCACATTGTACCACTCTGCTTCAGTTTTTTTTGATTACGGTCGTTCATATTTAATTCGACACCCATTCGGGGCGCATATCGCCAAAGTTGAGTCGGTGTCGATTCCTTCTGCGTTTTCCCATAGCAAAACAAAAACAACAACGACGATGTTCGATGTTCAACAATTCTTTCATACCCATCTCTCCTCTTTTTTCATTTGGCCTTCGTCATGTTGTACGAACATGTTGACCAAAAGGAAATCCATAAAAAACAGAAAATGTTCAACATGGAATAACACAGCCGGAGATAAACAAGGCAAAATGAAATTCGACTAAAGCAACCAGCCAGCCAGCCTTGCTTTAGCTTCAACAATTTGCTGCTTGCTTTGCACACTCCACTCAATCTCCACTTTTTACTCCTCTTGCCCTCCCCACATCTCTCCTGAATGATATGCGGATGGGGTATGTTGCATTCACAACTAGAGTTGACGTATTTGTTGTTGTTGGTTCGCTAGTTCGTGCTACTCCACAGAGCAGTTCGATAAAGCATTATATACCCAACTCGAATACATACAAAC